TATATATATATATATATATATAATTTTCGCAATTTTCGCAGCCAAAAATACCTCTAAACCAAATCCCAGCCCCAGAAAGAATCTGAATATTCTCAACAACAAAAAAATGTGCATGAGAGTAATCAACACAGAAACCTCATGCAGAGAAACCACAATGCGACCATAAAAATAAAATATTTAAAAATAAAAAATAAATAAATAAAAGAGAGAGAAATGTATACTTCTGAACGGCGGAGAGGACTTCGGCTTTGTCGATTTTGCCACCGAGATTGGATGCCAAATCCATAGCTGCAAGCTTTGGCGGAAGTGGAAACGACGTCGTTTGGATCTAAAGAGAGAATTGGAGTTTAGAGGAAAAAGAGAAAGGGGGAATGAATGCAGGGAATGAAAAGGAGTAGGAGTGACTCACGTGAGAGAAAAGGGAGTGAGGGGCGGAGAAAATGAAAGACAAAGTGTGAATAGAAAATAAGAAATCCCAACTTCACAAGAAGAGCATGTGATGTGAGTGTCCGTTTGCATGCGCAAAAAAACGTGGAGGTCCACGTTGAGTTGGCAAAGGAATCGTGACCAGAATATATTCAATTAAATTTTTTTTTTTTAAGAAATTTTATATTAAAATAAGACACTGTCCTACGAATTTGGATCCTCTCCTGCAATTTTCTTTCTCTAACATTTCTTCTGCAACATTAATAGTCATTAGATATATTTAATGGCTCAAATTTAATCTTATAATTAATGTAACTTCTTAAATGATTAAATTTGAGTCATTAGATATCTAATGGCTCAAATTTAATCATTTAAGAAGTTACATTAATTATAAGATTAAATTTGAGCTATTAAATATACCTAATGACTATTAATGTTGTAGGAGAGAGGCTGGAGAGAGAAAATTGCATGAGGATCCAAATTCATCCAAATTGCTGTACTACCCATTCAATCACCAACCTCTTTAAAAATTTTGAATACGATTAAGGATGGTCTATCTCGTTATGACAAATTCATAAATTTGAATAGAAAAATATATAATACAAAAAAATGTAAGATTTGATATTAAATCGTAATTAGTATAAAAAAAACTTAATCAATTGTGTTATTTTTACATGAAAATTAAATTATAGATTAAATTACACTTTTATTTTTTTATTTCTATCAATTTGCAACTTTAGTCTCTATATTTTTAAAATAGAGATATTTAGTTTCATCTAATTTTAAAAATACGAATTTTTGATCTACTTCCTAAATTGACATTTATTAATTTTAATTTTTAATATTTATTTATACTTAACTGGTGTGATATTTAATAATATGACATTTGGATATAAAATAACTTAAAAAATGTAAATAAGATTTATTAATAAAATTAATAATAATCATACGTTAAAATATATACAAACAAAAAATTTGTGTATGTTATTTTTAAATTTTTATCTCTAGACGCGTCACTAAATATGACATTATTAAATATCATGTCACTTAAGTAGTGACAGGTCATTAAATAACATCAAAATTTAACATTCAACAAACATCAAATTAATGATAGGATTAAAAACTCATATTTTATAAATAGGGGAACTAAATGTTTTTATTTAAAAATAGAGGGGTCAAAATTAGATATTGATGAAAATAGAAGGATTAAAATTATAATTTATCCTAATATATATTATTTTTATGGTAAATAAATGTTTAGATTAAGGTAAGATACGACCTCGAAGAATAACTTACAAAAAAAAGAAGGTATATGTATACCTTGGGCCTCGCACTTGCCGCTATCAAGGGACTAACTTTTTTCCACAACCTTTATCGTGGTTTCAACTCAAGCTTGATTATGAAAGTCTGAAAGTTCTTCCACTTGCATGTATTTATCAGCGTGATGACGAAGGACATCCATGTTGGCCAGTGGTTTTTCACAAAGACTATTAATGAATGGTCCAAGTTTGAGAGTCGTGGTGAGGTGATGCAAAGCGACAATCGGATTGAGATCCTTGACTTCTAAGGCTACCTTGTTGAACCATTCCATTAAAATTCTAAATGATACCTTTTTGTCTTGTAGGATACTAACCAATGCTAAAGAAGTCAATTGATGAGATCGACTGGTGGCGAACTGAATGGAGAATTGAGAACTGAGTGTATTGAATGAATCAATTGAGTTAGGTGTAGGTGAACTAGCTCAATGCTCGTCTTTTCAAAGAAATGGGAAAATACGACATAGGGTTACATCATTTGTGGTGTTTATGGTTACTTTAGTAAGGAAAACATCGATATGTTCGTCAGGGTCCTTCGTTCCATCATACCTAACCAATGGAAGAGACTTCTAATGGTCAATCAATGGTGCCTTCGTAATGGAGGGAACAAAAGGGTGGTAGTGGGGGTCAACTAGATTGTGGCGTTGTCGGTTAACGGTTGAAATTGTCAGTGGCATTTTTTCTGGTTAGGTCGAGGAAACATAAGGCACTCCAACGCTCAAGTTAGGATAGACTCAATTATCTAGAAGGGTAATAAATGAACAATAATTTTACCTTATTTTGTGTGACTATTTATACTAATTGTAATGGGCTTGGGTTTGATTGGCCTTGTTTTTTGATTATCAATTAGGTAATATGGTTGCTAATGTCAGATTATCCCTTAATCTTGTTTGATTTCTTCATTAGTTATGTAACTCTTATCTTATGGTCGGAGGCTTAATAACACTAAATATCTCCACTTGTTCAGTTGTCAAGAGTGACAAGTTAACGTAAAAAAAAAAAAAAAAAGGTTTGTCTCTTTCTTCTTGGGACATGAAAAGACTAAGGCCATGTCAAGATAAGACTAGTATGGTGGTGTGTTGCTAAACAATGTGATATAAGCATATTCAGCTATTTTGGCTACTAGTATTGGAGTGGTCGAGATCGAGGGTGGCAATGGATACACGTTTTCATCTATAGTGTTGGAGTCTCATCTCTACAACTGAAGTGACCAAACAGAGGGTCGACATGTGGCCTTGGATTTGTTTCTGATATAAAATATAAATATATAATTTACATAATTATCTTTTTATTTAATCTCAAGTTATTAAGTTTTGAAAGGACCTTCATAACTTAATTATAAGTTAATGATAATATAAGAAGTGTGCACTTTAGGAGTTCTAGTTATAAATTGAGTTTTTTTTATTATTTTATTTTAAGATTGACTATTGGTTCATATGATTTGAGAAAACAAGTTCAACTGAGTTACTCACGAACATGAACCAATCGTGTTTGAGTTGGACAAAGATGAACATGTCAAACTTAATTCAAGATTTGAGTTAAATAAAATATTATCTAGTCGAGTCAAGTCAAGCTGAAGAGTTTGGCCCAACTCAACTCGCTTCCAACTCTATATACTACAAGTACATTGGAGGTAGTTTTGTTCCAATAGGACAAATTACAATAACAAATCTATTAAATATTTGACATAAATGGGTGAGGTTGCTTTTGCCAAATCCAACCTTAAAAGATGTTCTTTTAAAATTAAAAAGATATATATTATTTTTTTGTTGACATATGAGGTCTTTTTCTCAACATATGTAGCCTTTGGCATTTACTTCCTACAACCACCATGTTGTTTCATGCACTAGTCAATTTTAAAAAATTATAAACTACTTTTATTTCAATCTTTCTTGATCTAGGACACTCAATCTAAAATTTTAAAATTGTATCACAAAATACTTAATCTAGATATTGTTAAATGTATTCGTGAACATGTATTCTACAATGTTAAAAATGTGCACTCAATCCAAAATATTAAATGTGTTTCAAAACACCAGCTTTAGAATGTTAAAAATGTGTTTCAAAACACGTGATTTGAAATGAAAATGTGTTTTGGAACATACATTCTAAAATATTAAAAATATATTTTGAAATACACTCTATAGAATGTTGGGGGGAAAGTAATATTATTTTTCATAATGAATTATCATTTTCCCTCCACCTTTGACATTTTTCTTGCGTTTGTATAAAAGTGGATATAATGTGGGAAAAAATGTTTTTACCTTGAAAAACAAAGACCGATAGATATTTTAGTTTTAGAGATGGGTTGAAGTTGGAGGCTTTTGTGACACTCATTCTATCCCAACACATATAGTAATAAAATGAAGAATAAATTATCAAGATTCTGGGTAAAATGGTTCAGAAATGACACGTCTAAATAATTGTCTAATCGAAAAATTAAAATTTGAAAATAATAGTTTGCCATTGTACTTAAATAAAGGAACATGAAGTCCAAATAAAATAAAAATTATCAAATAAAATCATTTGCCCCGATGTCACACTATCAAAGCAATCCCTCAACTCAACTGTCGGCACCTTGAGTGTCACTCACATCCAGATTTTTCTCACCTAAAAACAATTACAAAATATATGGTAAGAAATGAAGACATTCATATACAAGTCACAATAGGAAAATCCAACCAATACACCCTCAATTAAATAAATATACACAATTAAACCTCGATTAATCATACTTCATATTATCAATTCTAAGTTCATTCAATTTCCATTACCACATCACAATTTAAGTATGCACTATGTCACACATCCAACACCATGTCACGCACACGCCCATGTCGATGCATCACACATCCAACATTGTGTTATGCACACGCCCGTGCCAATGCATCACACATCCAACACCATGTCACACACATGCCCGTGTCGATGCATCACACATCCAGCACCATGTAACACACACGCTCGTGCCAATGCATCACACATCAAGCACCATCAAATATATATATATATATATTAACACATAACCAACCAACAAATACTTCATCTAAGCACAATATCATTTCAAACTCGCACCCAACGAAATTACAATTTCGCCCAACACTAAGTTCAACTCGAGAGCTCTAGTCTCTCTCGCGCTTGGCGTCAGGAAATCTTGCCTAACGCTAAGGCCTGGCAGAGACTACCCTAAGGAATTATGCCCGACAAAATTACATTTTCGGCCGGCAGAAACCTTCTAGGTTCCACCTTCAACTCCATGAAGACGCACCCAACACAAGGAATTAAGCCTGGTGCCAACGCAATTTTCTGTAATTCCAGAAACACGAACAAGACATCCAATAATCATTTATCACACAATCACTATTTCCATATTTCAATCGACCAAAGTTCATCACAATAACTCTAAAACACATTAAAACACGACAATTTCATGTGAACATGCATCAATTACCGAATTCTCAATTCCCTCATAAACCCTAACTCATAAGCACATTTCAATTAATTCAATCTCTCTCCCAAAACATCGATTTTTAACATCTAATACCATAAATACAATCATCAATACAAGTAGAATTTATCTGAATTACCAAATATACAAACAGAAAACATTATAAAATTACTAAGAATCCTAGGGAACTTTCTCCCTCTACCCATTCTCTCTCTCATATGACTTCGCATACAAAATTTCATTTTCCCCTGTACTTGATTGCGTAAGTTCGACTAGTTCTGATGCAATGTGAATCACTTTTGAGCACTTCCTAAGCACTCCTACCCAGAGCTCTTGTTTTT